AGATTATTCTTTAGCGCTCTCTGCGAGGGCGGTGAAACTAACTTTAACCTTAGTTCTACTCGTATGGCTCATATCCTTCTTAGTCATCGTGATTAGTATCTGGCTAATAGTCCGATAAACACTTACTCGTTTCAAATGAGATTTAAGACATGTATTAGCATTGTGTAAGGAAACAGATTTTCTAGTTCGAAAACACTGTGGTAACACTCAGTACATGAGGCTGAGTAAATAGTCAGCGTATGGAACACAAATAAACCTTGCGGTAAAATCAACCGCTTCATGTTGCACTTTGTTTCAGTGCGTAGGACTGTCTTGAAATCAAATCTGTGAGGCATACCATCCGATAAACGCATGCGTCAAAGCCACGTATCAAGGATGCCGGCTGGACAAAGACGATAAACCATAGTTGTGGATAAGGCCCCATTGGGACGCTGGACGAACGTTGTTGACTGAGGGGACTTCTCAGCTTCTGCCTAGTGACTACATCAGTGGCAGAGGAAGCCCTTGTGCTTAATGCTGTCTTATACAGTCACTATAAAGGTTGGTTTTTGACAAGTTAGACAGCCCTTTATATAGGCTTAAAGATAAAGTCGCATTCCGTGATAGAAGATGCAAATGCCACAAAGCTGTGAACTTATGCTACAGCAAAGGAAACGAAAAAAGTAAAATTTGGGAACAGATGGTAATCCGTAATTCGTTTGCTTAAGATATTTAGTGTTAGGAACAGAAGGTCGAGTCTGATCAAATGCATGTACGCTGGAGAGTCTTCAATGAAATTTTGGGGCGAGATTCCAGAAAGTAAGGAAGTACTAAATTTGTGAAACCACGCGTTCAATTTATCAGTTCAAACTGGTACTAACCGCGTAATGAAGAAGTCTAGTGTAACCTATGGAACGCAAAGCAAGGACAAGAAATCACTGCAAATCTGCTGGAAAATAAGCAAGATCAATGGCATGCGCTAAGCTAGTTTATTTAAATAACAAACGTACAGATTGTCCATGCTAATTCTAGGACGAGCCCGAAATATCGGGCTAGCTATGGGTTCCTTTTCGAATCGGCAGGATGCAAGAAAAGGCAAGCGCAGTGCGAAGTCGAGGACGACATGCATACATGCCCAGTTCTCCAAACAGCCCCATGCAAGCAAACACAGGCAGACACATTTGATTCTAGGGGTACATGGTAAAACTAGATATTTTAGAGGAATTTCACCATCACACCTAGAGCGAACAGGGTACTCATCGAGCCGATACAACTTCAAGGAACGCAGCAGTCAAGAGGTTGCTACATGTATAAAGTGATAGCCAAACTAAGATGAAAGTCAGTTGACATTAGCTCAAGTTAAAATGCAAACAGTATGGAACAACGCAATAGTGAAACCATTTTGAGTTGAAATAATTGCTAATGTGAGGTGATAATATCACGGATAGTTCAAATGATTACGACGGAGCACTCAACGGGATTGTAAGAATGGTACAGTGCGTCCGCGTAGTGAAGAGATCAGTTAATATCAGAGCCAAAAGCTGATTTGCTCTTCTAGCTATTCGCCACGTCGTTATAACAAAGACGCCTGGAAATCTTCATGGGATGCATATCTATGGGAATTGGACTGAGGTGCTGTGGGGAGGAACCAATCATGCGCAGCGATTAGCTTGCAATGGGAAAATGCCTTTCAACCTTCCCTCGAACTGGCCGACATGCTGCAGTCCGAAAATCCTATTTCAGCCCATTAACGTTACCCTCATTTCTACTCCCAAATAATAAGAACTCAATGATCAATAACCTCAGAACTTAAGGAATTCCACACATGTTCACTATAACTCAGGGGTTTTCCCGTGCTCGCTATCATTACTCAAAACCCCCCACTTTCTCTATTCCCGCCGTGTACTTTCGCTGAGGGCTTCATTCAGTTGGTCTTTCAAGGAGAGACTTTGTAACAAACAAGAAAGCAATATATTTCTTAACATTGTACTAATGAATTTAGTCTGCCTTGTTACTCAGTATTCATTCGCTTGTTTTACCGAATGAAATGCCCCATCACAGGCTCGTCCCTGTGTGTTGCACCGTACGCTGCTCTCCGGTATCGCCTACCTACTCCTTATCTTTTGCACATATGTGTAAACTGTGTTAAAGGGAACTAACTGCTTTAAATTTCTGAAAAGACGAATTCCCTCCGAAACAGTCAGGTTGCTGCACCGCATAGTCAGCCTGAGGTGCAAGATGGTGTGCTTACGTGTGGAGATATCGTTTCTATCGAAATGCATTTTCGTACGTCGCTATCCTCGTTCAGTGCTCTTATTGTTGCGTAGAAACAAACTCAAGCCCTCTGCGGCTAATCTCAGACGGGTGGCGTCCGCTCACCTAGAGACGGCTCAAACCAGACTTGCGGAACTACTAGAAACTCATGCACGCTTACTACCCGTGGTCGAGTGTCTGTCTCAGTGTTGCCGGACTGTTTTCACTAACTTTTGTAAATCAACTCTTGATCGTACGAGACGAAATCGCTCCGCTCGTTTAGAAAATTCGCTGACGAACAACCAGGAGGAGGAACCAATTGCTCGTGATCCCAGTAAGTACGTGATGAATTTATCGAACGTACAACTTAATGCGTTGCAATTAGAAGCATTATCACTTGGGCTTGATTACAAAGTTCCCCTAGGATGTTGAACGACTTGTTTATAGAAGCTCAATTTGAGAACTTTTTTGACCAGTTTAAGGAGCTCCAACTAACCAGCCCTGATAAGCATATTTGGTTCAGAAACAAGTTAACTGATATCGCCCATGAGGTGAAAACCATGCCAATTAATGAAAAATGTGCCATCACAGCTCGACATTTTCAGGCTTTACGTGAACTACGAGCTAAGGACGTAGTCGTAATGAAGCCAAATAAAGGTTCAGGAGTGGTAATCATGAATAAAACCGAATACAATGAGAAGATGTGCGCCATACTCAACGATGCGAGTAAATTCGAACGGCTAACGAAAGTAGGGGGCATAACCAATGTCGAAATGCGCATAATTCGTCACCTGGAATTGCTTCTCCTCCACCGCGTGATAGACTTCGATACATTTAATAGTTTGAAGCCGAGTGGTAGCACTATTCCACAGTTGTATAGGTCCACAAAGACACATAAGAGTGAAGTGCCACCCAGGCCAATCCTTTCAATGATGAACGCGCCCCAGCACAAACTCGCTCGTTGGTTAGTGAAGTTGCTAGCTCCGCTGAAACAACAGTTCAATTCGTACAGTCTTAAAGACTCGTTTCAACTCGTTGATGATCTGGATGAACTCAACCTATCAGACAAAGTTATATGTTCCTTGGATGTAGAATCCTTATTTACCAACGTGCCGCTACATCAGACGGTTGATTACGTGTGCGAATTAGCTGAAAACGGTGGCTGTTCGCTACTAATTCCGACTGAATTGATAAGAGAATCTCTACTATTGTGTACGGAGAATGTGGATTTTCACTTCCGGAATACACCATACCGTCAGATTGACGGCGTAGCAATGGGTAGCCCATTAGATCCTGTGCTCGCTGATTTCTTCATGTTGATGGTAGAAAGAAGCATTTCTACAGAAATCGCCCAGATGCCATACTACAAAAGAAATGTCGATGATATCTTGGCTTTCTGTTCGTCGGAGCAGCAGCTCACAAATTTGGTAGAACGACTCAATGGTGCTCATGCTAACTTACGGGTTACATGTGAAATAGAACAAAACAATTGTCTACCATATCTGGACATACTCATAACTCGCAGGGATGATGGATTGATTAAGAGGTCCATTTACCGAAAATCGACTTGGTCCGGTCAGTACCTGCACTTCACCAGCTTCACACCAGTGCGGTACAAACGGACACTTGTGAAGACTCTAGTTAGTCGTGCCAGACGAATTTGTTCGGCCGACTGTCTAGACGATGAGCTAGTGTTAATTACAGCAACACTAATGGCGAATGGCTACCCTCGAAGATTTATCGAGAAACACAGCCAACCGCGAGGACCAAAGGACTTGGTGCACACGGCAGCCAAGAAGAAAGTGTATATCGAGTTACCATTCAAAGGTGACAACCACGCTGAAGACAACTAAGCGTATAATTTCGGCTACACAAGGAAGTTACTATGCTGCACAAGTTGTCGTTATCAACCGAACCCGAAATTTGCCCATACCTCCAACGAAGGAAGCTCAGCCTATTGGGGCCAACTCACACTGTGTATACCAATTTGTATGTGACTGCGGAAAAAGTTACGTAGGCCGAACCAATAGAACGCTGACTTCCGGAATAAAGCATCATGTACTAAGATGAGTTCAACCTGAATTTGCTCAGATTACCTACCCCCGTTAGATTCCATGTTCGCGCAGACCGCCGGCTTGCTCTATAGGCAATCACCTATTAGACTGGGGTCACCAGATAGAGCCGGGCTCAGCGTTTAAAATTGTGTTACATCACACTAATCCCAGCTTCCTTAGGTTTGCTGATGCTAGGCAATAATACGGATTAAGCCAGCCCTGAGTGTTCAGAAACAATTGTCAGCCTAAAGCTGCCTCGGACGTAGGTGTGAAGTTCCGTCATTCGTTTTGCACCTTAAACTTGTCTAGTTGCACCCACGGTTAGCTATATCTATGAATATCGCTTATTGTTAATGGTACTGAGGAGACAATACGAAATGCATACATCTACCAGCCTTCGTCTTCTTTCCGTGCTTTTCAAATTGTTGTAGGGAACTAACTGCTTTAAACTGTGTTGGGTCTAGCCATGTTTACCCATACACTTGCTCTCGATACTAGGACGTTCGTGGATATCACCGCTTTCGCTCGATATATCCGCTGCCATTTAAGTTCTGTACAGTGTCTGAAGCGAACAGTCCGGTCTCTACAAATTATTGTTCGCCGAACTAGGCGTTTCTTCGGCCAGATGACATGTATACCAGAGTATTGTCTTTCTCCCAGCAAAATATTTGCCCCTGTAGGATGACAAATGGAATATAGACGAATGCGAAGGTCGTAGTCACATATGATGCATAAGTTGGTTCCATTGAATCTTTTGTAACACGGCAATCGGATTAAAACTTAAGATTACTTCCGTTACCAAGGAAAAGCAGCGCTAATTGAAATTTTCATAAATTCGAATAGTCGTTAAACAAAACAACAAAAAGAAACGAGCAAGTCGTGTGGAAGACAAATGTGATCCTTCCTGCTATGTCACTGATTTCACACTTCCTCAATCAAGATTTAATTTCTTTCATATGCGTTGCGCTTCAGATAGTGCAATAATTCAAAGGTGAATGAATATTAAATACATGCTTTCAACAGCTCTTCTTGTACAGTTAAACTAAGAGTCTGTTGAGAAGAATAATATCTATACTTGCAGTGAATTTTACCTCAACGTTTGGAACATTACTGTAAGTGTGATTAATTTATCAATGTGTACAATATTCATAAAAATATTTAGTTACTTCTCCCATGATGTTCTCTGCACAACGTGCAGATTATTGCTGTTTTTCACCGTCTTTTGTTCCATGATGAGGCTTATGCCCGGACAACGTTTTGAGCAAATTGACGATCCAGTTTCTTCAAACAGTGATTATTCAAGAGCTGTTGTTAAATCGGCCAACTTCGTCAGATTAGACAGTCCATTGGAATTGCACGAAATCGAGAATATACTTCGGTAAACCTGGTAACCATCTTACCAGCTGAAAGAGAACATTTTTGATTGAATTGTTTCATTTGTAAACGATAACAGTTAGAAAGATTCTAAATGCAAGCGCCACTAGATTTTAACTATAAATTCGGTGTTTATGTTTCAGCTGATATTTACACAACTTGTAGCTTCGAAGCAGTTGGTAATGTTTGGAACAGCAGGATAACAATGAAGTCCCTACACATGCACGCGACACAGCATGGTAAAACGGGTGATTTACCACTGTCATCTGCAACGCTTTCATATAATTATGTTTAAGCAGTCAAAACCTCTCAACAACATTTCGGACTCCGACTGATGTCCTAACTTCATAGCCCAGGAAAGGGTGCTAGAAGGTCGAGTGCAGTACGCTCATTGATTTTGCAAAGGGCAGACCTGTGTCAGTTAAAACAAATGTGTAGCGACACGAAAGCCAATGCTTAACTTTTATGTACGGTTGAAATCAAGTAAAAGTTTACATGGGAATTAGTTTTCGGGTCAATACAATTGTTCAAGCTGAATGCAATAAGCCTACTCACCGAATTTCAATACACTCTTTCTAGACAAATAACAGGAACTTTCTCAAAACAGCATCAGTAGCTACGGTGAATGAGTGGAATAAGTGTTGCAATACTGCATGTGAACGTTGAGTATCAAACTTTTGTAATTATTATTCAAACGCAAACTAGTACTTTGTGAGCTATTGGTTAAAGTCCCGTTCCAATTTGGGTCCTCCTGTTTTACGATTAGATTGAGACTGGCTAATCGTATCAAACTGGGTTTTTTCAAGGTCCCAGGAGAACTGAGAGTAATACAATCCACTTCATCGGGGAGTCGATCTGGCCAAACGGTAGGACAACAGGAGACGACCATCTTGGAGTGAAGTTGCGTGTTCCATTCACACGGAAGTTGATAGTAGATCTGCGGAAACCAGTTAACCACTGTGTTGAATATGTCCTTAAAAGAGATAAAACAGCCAGTTATATAAACTAGTATAGTATCCTCATTTTTGAATCAATAATGCGAGGTGTGTCTAAGGTAGCCAGTTCGATTCCGATAAAATCATATTATGAATCTTGAAACAAGAAAATCCCACTGTGAGCAAAAGTATGATGCTCGAAAGTTTCAGGTTATAGGTCGAACTCGTCATTTGGTACTTTTCGATCAATCATGTAAATGTAGCTCATAATGAGCTCAAGAGGAACGAACCGACGTGAGATCACCTGGCGTCCATGCGCTGTCAGTTGACGATCTTCGCGCCTCCATGATAAGTTCGACTGCACTGTTGGTTGCTTCAGTATGCGCACTGGCGGACGCTTATGGTTCATTACAGTGGTCTCAAATGGCCCGCAAATGTGCGAACTTTGATATTATTCTTTCCTGACCAAACAGTCCAGCTTAAGAACGAAGTTTACCCTGCCAGTAGCACAGACAGGTATCCGGAATGTATAAACAACCCGGTTCATTAAGATAAGACGGAATACACCCTTAATGTCAGCGATTTGTTTCATGTTACCTCACGCAAACAGCTAATAAAGCACCAAATAGGGATTTCGGTCCTAGAACCTGGTTTGTCTTTTCATAAATCATGGGTGAATTTACGAGCATGCAGTTAACTGCGGAGTGAATTCTTTTGTTATACAATTAAGTTTGGTGACAAGTTAATTCCCGGCTGATATTTTTTACATGGTTGGAGTTGACAAATGATGAGTTCTGTTCCATCAAGTATTTCGGGTGTACAATTGTCATTTTTGCAGCATTGCAGTAAAACCAGAGCTGACGAGCTAATGCTTTTAACTGTTGATCAATCGTTTGTTTGGGTTTGTGCGTTTGCTTGTTGCGGGCCGTTTTGTTGGCTGTGTTTTTGAGGTAAAATTTAGTACCCGGCTCTAACCATTCTAGAATTGAATTGGAACGTAAATTTGTCAGCAGTACTTGTCAACTTAAGCAATGTAATAGAAAACTTTAAATTCTTAAGTCTGGCAGTTGAACTGTTCGCTGAGCTTGGCAATTTGATTGCAAACGTTTCCTCACCAATCGAGGTGACATCATCAGTGCGTAGTTGAGTGGCGTGCAGTAGCGTAGAATAGCGTAGAGGAGCCTCTCACTGGGACTCCTCTACGCTATGCTACGCTACTGCAAGCCACTCAACTATGCACTGATGATGTCACCTCGATTGGTGATGAAACGTTTGCAATCAAATTGCCAAGCTCAGTGAACGGTTCAACTGCCATCTAAACAACCTGAGCTACCAGTCTTCAATTCTATAGCCATTCTTAAGTCTTTCAAGCTTCCATCTGATTTCAAAGAGAAGGAACCATTTGTGTGCTGAGTATCTGGAGGATGCAGTTTACATTTCTCGGAAACCTGTGACTATTTGATTCGGAAATATTTCACATGGAACTCAATTACACAGGACATCGGACTGGGATTGACAATGAAACATAAAGGTTGTTTTATCAGTTAGTTACACGATCACCATACTTATTCAAATCAAACAAATGCGAACCATGGCTGCAAATCTTTTGCTATGAAATCATTCAACACTACCGAATACTAAATAGTAAGTGACGATGTAGGTGTGTGGAGGCAGCTCAAATGAAAACATTGAAAATCGCACGAACACAAAACCCAGGTCCTACATCACTGTTTGTGCATGAAACCACGTGTGTCGAAAAGAGTTAATCAATCCGAGTCTCATGCTTGGCGCAATCTACTTCCCAGTAAATCTGTAGTTTATGCTAATGTAAGGCTCATCTAGTTCACATCATTGAAACCAAAAGTAAAATAAAAACTGAATAGAGTGAAACCTAATCAAGTTGATGTAGCACACAGAGACTAAAGGAAGCATTCAAGCAACCAATGAGAGCCAACGTTGCATCTAATGAAAGGAAAGGAACCTACATTTGTGTGTAACAAGGCCACTCCGAATTCCCCATTCAGGCCAAAGAAGAGAGTGAGGCGTTCTAAATGGCCTTAATGTCTCAATCTCCAGTAATCACATATCCCTTCTCTCTCTCCCATAAGTAAGATCATTGCCTGCAATATGCCAGCTTCAAGTTCTTTGTAGTTTGTCGCAACCAGTAGTTCGTTAGCCATACAGGGGACCCAAAGTTAAGATCAGCCCACCATAGTAAGTAACGGGGCACCATACGCAACGTTTGCCTCCGGAAAGATCACCGGTAACTTTGGTTGCAGGACTGTGGAAAACGATGTCGCAGCACGGATGGCTTTCATCAGTAAAGAAAACAAATTCGCCAAAAGCACAGGAAACTAATGCTCTAAAACCAGTGGTCATGAAACACAACCATAAAACATAAATACCCGTGCCCACCCATGTCCCCGAATTCAAATTCAATATAATCAAAGGTAACTTGAAAGACGATCGAAACAAATGGTTTCATATGTACCATGATCGGTGTCCAAGTGATCCGGCGATATTAAAACCATCGTGTGTCGCCCAAACTCCGTGCACTACCATGAACCCCGATTACTTCGGGTAACCCTGTGCGTGAGACAGAAGTCGTTCTCGCATCTGCGAATGGGATCTGCAGCGCCCCCAACGTGAGTGCGCATACTCCCTGACATCCCGTAGAAAGAATGTTCAGCAGATCCCACCAACCGAAAGGGAAACGGAAAAAATTAATATGAGAAATCTGATTGCTCACGGTGTTCCTGAGCTTACAAATTCCTCCTCTGTCGATGCCCAAGTACACGACTGAGAGCAATGGCGCTACGTCCGTAAGGATATTTATCTCGAATGTGTTTTCGCCACCTCATTGACAAGAATCCTTGTGCTACCTAACCACAAGGAGTGTGGTCCCAGGCAAATTAAACTGATGTTATAGGCTTATCTAACGGTGCAAATGCTTCTAAATATTCAGGCTGTTTTGTAGCAGGCTGCAGCTAGAACTTCATCTGCAAGCAGCAGGAATACTGCCACGATCTATTGAAAACTCAGTGGGGTGAAGATCTCTATAAAGACACCCGCGGTAGGATCCAACTCTGTAACGGTTTTGACAATCGTCTTAACATCGGTAGGGACATGGCAGAACTCGAGCGACCACCGGGATCTGAAGCATCTGAGAAAGGGATATATCGCAACTTCTTCCCGAGAGCTTGCAATCGTTACAAAAAGCAGATTTGCCGCTGACGGTTTGTTGGCTGGCATAAACGCACTCACTTCATCCACCCAGCCAACACGCTTCTGGTTTCCGAGAAGCCCTCTTGTATGTACACAAATGCCCAAGACCTACCCATTAAATTAGATGAATTGAGACCGACATGCGTCAGCAGCGAGGGAGCTCATCACTATCACGGAAATATGGTTGCGCTGTAAGAAAGGGTACGTCGAAATTGCATTGACAGGTAGGTCTGTCACCCGGTATGATCCCGACAGCAAAGCTGGTGCGCTAGCCCTTTGCTTTCACAAAATCTCCAGTGCAAACCAATACAGGATTCGGAAACTAAAGTGTCCGACTCCATTTGGTGTCGCTTATGGCTGAAGGGCAAGAACGCTGGCATAGTGGCTGTTGTTTACCGCCAAATATCTTCTTCGCTTGAGCTAGACTTCAACTTGGTAGCTGCGTTGAAGCAAGTGATAAACAGAAAGTACATTCAGGTTCTAGAAGCCGGCCACATAGAAGACCTGTAACACTTCGTCACAAATTTTCGCTTTATGGTCTCGTGATTTTGCCCACCAGACTAGGAGAAAAAGCGATCCATCTATTTTGGACTTGCTACTTCTAAGAACTCATCATCTAGTGTGTGATCCTCGATAAACCTCTAGGCTGCAGTAATCTTGCAACTATGCATTTCATGTACACCTGCGATGCTGAAGACCCGTGGACAAAATTCAAACGAAGCGGATAATAACCAGCTGCGACTCGTTAGCTCGACTCGTTGAAGACACCAAAAGGAGTTTCCTAACAGAGAATACACTAGAAACGTTTCGTTGGTAAGTTTAACATCTTGGTTAGTGGGATGTCGGAAAGCGAGGCTGTCATTTCGAGAAACACGGTATCGTTAATAAGGAGCAGGATATGCATATGATGCGTAAAGCTGTGTGGTATACCCGAGAAACCGCTCCTAGTCCGAGTACCCGGAATTCCTGTGTTTTCCTTTGTAATCATTGCACCAAACTAGTGCGTGAGAACAAGGTAGTATAGCAACAGGCTCTAGCAGCGATTGACTTCGAAACACAGGCTTCAGTACAAGCAGGGTGAAAAGTGAGGTTTCCCTTCTTCAAAGAGCGGATGGTCTAACTCAGACTGTCAAAGAGGCGTTGAAGATTCTGCAGCAACGAATAGCACCAAACTTTCATGCTATCCTATGGTCTTCTGGACTTTTGAATCTATGGTGCTTACATCAACACTCACCCATGTAAGTTTTACGCAGACACTCTGATGAAAAAACTGCAATAAGTGTGCCTAGACACTGATCCCGGCATTGGAGTCATCTATCCAAGGAAGCTTATTGTGGTGGTTAATAGTTTGACTGAACATTTGTCACGACTGTCACAGCAGTGCCTTGACGACAGGCGAGTTGCTGCAACGTGGAAACAGGATAAAAACTTCAATTTAAAAAATGGGTAGTCGTTCGGAACCAGTTGATTATCTACCAGTGATTCATCTGCTAGTTCTTTCATAAGTTATTAAGGCTAGCACTGCTGGCGCACTTAGGTCATACTCGTATTGTTTTGCATATATGTTTCAGCAGTAAAACCGCTTCCGTCAAATTCAGTCATCCACCATCAACCACGAGACAGCTGTTGCAAAACGCTGGAGGATAATTCAGGAGTGGATGTGGCTTATCATTACTTTCCCCGGGGTATTCAACAGGTTGCACTATCGTATCCATCTCAACAAACATTAAGCAAGTGGCGTTAAACACCCTCTCCTCGGGTGGATCTGCAATTTTTTCTTGCACGAGCGTCTGGATGTGAGGGTGCGTGAATC